ACTTTCTGGTGCTTTCACTTCCAGAGACAGTTGTAAGCACTGTGTAACTGCCTCGAGGGTGCTTGACCATTTTAACACAACGTGGTGCGATCATCCCCCTTGCGCGGAGTGAGGGTTCTCCACCCCGCACAACATGATCTACTCGACCACCACTATGGTTACCGCCAAAAAAAACCGGAGGTAAAAAAAAAACGGTAATCTGGTTCCCGAGTTCACGAAGTGAATTGGCTTGTTTTACAACGTCGTTGCCAAGCGACGAAACCCAACCCCGATGGCAAACACCGGGGGGGGAGCTGTTTAGAGGGGGGCGGGCAAAACGGGCTCAAGTCTGTCTGTATTCTGTCTGTCTGTCTGTGACCAGCCTCGATATATTACCCGCAGATTCCAGCCCATTCACCATCTCGGCACCAAATTGCAATCTAAGACGTGTTCACAACAAGTAATATTTTGCCCGAGCTGTCCCAACTGCTACCTTTTCAATCCGTGCACGGTGCGTCGAGGTATTGCAGCATCGGTACCCAACTTGAAGCAGGGAAGTTTGTGGCCCCTTGCAACACCGAGAGGAGGCGTCGTTTGATTTTGAACCAAGACGTATAGCCTCGCACACCACACACCACACACACACAGAGCCAGACATGGACAAACAGGGAGAGAGAGACACAGACCACAGCGAGGGCGAGACGGCGGGAGACGGGTGTACCATACACTGCTGCTGTTTGCTATCGGAGGAAGCGAGAGGAGAGATCAACATGTGGTTGCAGCAGCAGCAGCAGCAGCAGCAGCGGCCTCTCTCTCTCTCTCTTTCCGCTTAGAGTGGCACATGACACCAACAACACACAGACGCTGCTACGCACCACCATTGGTGCGACATGTACTGCTGTACGCCTCTCTACACTTTTGTGCGCGAAGGCCTAGTGTGCGACCAATGCCTCCCGTGCTAGCCTGCTTACCCATCACACGCTTGAACGTTTTTCTTTTTTTTCTTATTATCACGCAACAAATCCATCTCCTATATATATAGAAATAAGTCCAAGATAGATTAGCAATGAATCCATAGCGTGAGCGAAAGGCTACCTGTATGTCTACGGTTTCCCAGACAGTATACAACGATAACTCCCCTGTGGGTAATAGGCTCAACAAGGCAGTTTGGTAGCCATCTTGTGTATCTATCTTTTGATATTTCTCGATCAAGGCTCAAACGAACAAGCGAAGCACAACAACAGCAGGAACATTTTATTTTTTAGCTGCTAGCCCTTTTTTTTAATATTCCACACCCCTCCCTCCCCCCCGGTGTTTGCCATCGGGGTTGGGTTTTCGTCGCTTGGCAAGGAAGTTGTAAAACAAGCCCCCCCCTCGGTGTTAGCCATCGGGATTGGGTTTTCGTCGCTTGGCAACGACCTTGTAAAACAAGCCCCCCCCTCTTCGTGAACCCGGTGAAGGCCACCCTGACTCTCGAAATCACGGGTTCGAGTCCGTGTGGAGGTGTCTTTTTTTTCCAAGACATTTTATTTTTCGGAGTCCATCACATTGATTGGCGCCCCCCACACCTCAATCAACATATTGTAATACTGCTGTATAGTAAACGGGCCAATGATAACAGACGCACAAGCCTACGCAGGTATTTTTTTCAACCAGAAAAAGCTATTCCATCTCCCGATCTAGTAACCCTCTGCCCGTTTATTCAACCATTGCCTTCCCGTTGCATGCGTCGCCTTCCTGGCAATGTACGTTCGTGGTCTCGTCGTTGTGGAGATTTGAGAACAACATTGGGATGGGGTCCGAGATGAATCATGTCCAGGAAAACAGCAACAGCAGTAACAACAATAGCATTATGTATAAATCCGCCTACATCTACACAGCGACGTCATTGCGGAATTCCGCAAATAAATTCGCCTAGTCTACACATCAGAACAGCGACACCATGATTGTGGAACCTCGCGCGACGTCATGGTTGGCGAATTTCCTACCGACGGCGTAGATGAGTACGTCGCGCCACATATCTTGGGCAGAATCGGAATCCGCATCACGGTCTGGATCACCTTCCGCATGTCCGTTTACCGTGAAGTCCTGGCAGGATACGAGCGGACCCGACAAAAAGTTATGGCATTAGACTAGTAACAACATATTCGCCTGATTGAGAGCGTAGCATCTGATTGAGAGCGAGATTGCGCGATACGCTGTAGCCGGACTACCACTGAGAGGTGGAGCTTGCTGTGTAGCTTGAATTGAAGGGCTAGCCCGTAGCTTCAAGCCGCTACCCTGGTCATCCTGTGGGAGTCTCTCGTTGTGGAGCTACAGCGGGGAGCAGAAGCTACAGCAGAGCCCACCGCCCGACGCGATACCGCCCTGAAACAGTTTGAGCAGAAATAGCCAATCTGGGCAAATCTAGCAACTTGTCTAGCTCCTCGCTGCAGCATCCGATGACGATGACACGCATATGCTCGCGAAGCTGCTGATGAGACCTTCAATTTGCACCGCTTCTTGGAATAGCCCGTCCCCTACTTGCCAAGAAATGGCAAGAGGCGTCTGGACCCGAAATTTCAATTTTTTTGGCTCTCGCTCTCAATCAGATACTTCGCTCTCAATCAGGCGAATATGTTGTTTAGTCTAGATAGAGCATGTGATTTTCCTGCGTGTTCAAGCGCATGGTCGGGTACTGCTCTTCATTTGTTGCTCGCGGACACCTTACGAACTCAAGCACACAATAATAAACAGAAAGAGCACGGCGATGGTGCCGGAAGAAAATGTTCGTGGGTCTGCGAACATTGGTGTTGGATACATGTATGTGCTGGATGATCTTGTGTCACGCAGACTCTGGTAAGATTACCGCTTGGTAGGGGGCACCGCGATGATTCACGGGCCCCCTCCTTGCTGTGGGAGCCGCTCCTCGAGTACTCCCTTNTTCGTGGGTCTGCGAACATTGGTGTTGGATACATGTATGTGCTGGATGATCTTGTGTCACGCAGACTCTGGTAAGATTACCGCTTGGTAGGGGGCACCGCGATGATTCACGGGCCCCCTCCTTGCTGTGGGAGCCGCTCCTCGAGTACTCCCTTTTTCGTCCGTGTGAAGGACGGTCGTCGACCTCTCGTGAATTTAATACATCACCAAAACAGTCTCACCCGATAAATAAGTGGCGTAGCCCGCAAACAGAAAATAAATGCCATCCACCACGCGCTCATGCCTGGGGAAATGAGCGCTATTTTGAATGCGACATCACGCAGTCTCTAGTAGTCTAGACTAATGTACAGGCATTCATTCAACCAAACTTGATTCGGTACCTACGACTGTTCAAGAGAGGAGCGACGCGACAGAAGTTCCATCAATCATGGTGTGCCCCACCACCAACACACATACATATAGAACTATAGTCTACATATATATATTACATGCGAACTCGCCATGTGTTCAAACGTCATGGGCTACTGATCGACCAACTTCCACCAGGGCCAATCGGTTGGGATCTCTGCGACAACGATCGATCGTAATGAGGGTAGCTAATTCTTTTAGGAGTGACGGACACGAAGGATAGAGAAAGGGAAGAAAGGAGGACGAAGACGGCGATGGAGGAGGAAAACACGGAGGAGTGGAAGAGGGCAAAGGGTTTGAGCCAGATGACGTTCCCCAAAACAAAAAACGTAGGGCTCCGGAAGAACTGCCCAGAGATTCTTGTCAAAATTAGGATAAGAATATGGTAGCGAAAACAAGGAGGGTAACAACGGTGACAGTCGACCCCGCTTTAAAGACACACCACGTTTTCCAAAAAATAAAGTGTCTTCAACGCGGGGAAGTGTCTTTAAAATTCCGGGGCCACTAACGCACCATCCCCGGGGCCAATGAAGGCGAAACATATGTCAAAAGGTGCGCATTCGCGGCAGAAAGGCGACCACAAGAAGAGGTGTTGTTTGAAACCTACGACACAAGGTGATTTGAAGGTCGCAACCACTGCCGCTATTATTGTGCTGCAATTCATAATACTTGCAAGCCATCGTTTGAATTTCCCCGTACTGTACCACCAAAACGCTGAAAGCGATGGTGTTCTACGACCTACGCATCGTACATGTACACGACGGTGGTGCGCTGGTGTTGATATGGGCTTAGTTATTTGCTATATATATATTTTTTAGGCATTGTCCTCCCCGTGAATATCTTGCCCAAGATCTCGCTACCGCACCTGAGAAATATCGAAGGTTATAAAACGACACTAAGAAAATGTAGGTTACGCAGAAACACAGAGACCCATTATGTCGTGAAAGCACAGCGAGCGACAAAGAGGACGCCGCGCCTTCCGAAAGGTCAAAACGAGGCACAACACAAATGCCAAATTCAACCTCACGAGACTTCACCCAAGGCAAACAACGAACGTTGGCAACAAAAAAAAAGTGCTTTGCTCTCGAAACCAAAAACTGCACCCGCCACATTNTGAAACCTACGACACAAGGTGATTTGAAGGTCGCAACCACTGCCGCTATTATTGTGCTGCAATTCATAATACTTGCAAGCCATCGTTTGAATTTCCCCGTACTGTTCCACCAAAACGATGAAAGCGATGGTGTTCTACGACCTACGCATCGTACATGTACACGACGGTGGTGCGCTGGTGTTGATATGGGCTTAGTTATTTGCTATATATATATTTTTTAGGCATTGTCCTCCCCGTGAATATCTTGCCCAAGATCTCGCTACCGCACCTGAGAAATATCGAAGGTTATAAAACGACACTAAGAAAATGTAGGTTACGCAGAAACACAGAGACCCATTATGTCGTGAAAGCACAGCGAGCGACAAAGAGGACGCCGCGCCTTCCGAAAGGTCAAAACGAGGCACAACACAAATGCCAAATTCAACCTCACGAGACTTCACCCAAGGCAAACAACGAACGTTGGCAACAAAAAAAAAGTGCTTTGCTCTCGAAACCAAAAACTGCACCCGCCACATTTATATCCCGAAGAGTCGCCTGCACCTCCCCCCCCTCCTTTGCTCTTCGCTTGACCTGAGTTTCACGAGTAAACGAATGCACAGTCTTGGAAAGAAGGTACGCCGTTCCGCTGTACTCGCCGTCTCTTCCATGTGTGTACAAGTAAGAGCGGACATCTTCGAGACGAGAGCGAACTACAGGTGCTGCAGCATATTTTCTGGGGGGGG